AAGTGGGGGGCGGGTGGTGGGGGAGGTGGCATCTCTGAGGAGGGACGGGGTTGGAGCAGCTGCCAGTCTCAGTGTGCTGGGCCCGGCCCACTCCCCTCCCTGCCCTCCACAGCCCTGCCTCCCTCCCCCGCCCCTTCCCCAGAAACCCTTTTGCACGGATCATACACAAACGGGCACATTACAAAATGACATAACACAGTTTCACAATATCCATGGCTAGGGCTTTTTTTTCTCTTTTTCAGTTTTTTTTTCTACACAATGTACAATTCCTTTTAAATGGATCAAGAAATAGCTTATATACACGAATGAGTCCTTGTTATAACATCTCGGCAGCAAATATCATAAGCTAATGAAGGTCTTGTTGGATGGGACGGGGGAGCCTAGGACTGGGGGGGCGGGGCGGGGGCAGAAGGGTTCTGCCTTCTGGAGGAGTGGGGAGAAAAGGGAGTGGCTGGGAAAAGGAACAAAAGTAAAATATCAAGAAGCATCTTTACAAAGCAGTTCTACAGCTAATTCCTTTTAAAGGGGAAAGGAAAGGTAACCAAAGCAGGAGAACATTTATCTCTGTGTCTTAAAAAAAAAACAACAAAAAAAACAAAAACTGTCTACCATACATACATCCAAAAATGTGGAAAAAATATATTCCAGGGATGGAGGAAGTCCAGATGTTGTGGTCAAATGACAGAAAGTAAAAATAAAAATTAAAAAGATGACGAATATGGACCTCTGTCCCTCGGCTTCACCCGAGCCTTGCCGCTCGCCCACCCGTGTGAGGCTGCTGGGGCGCAGGCCACTGTCCGCAAACTGCTGCTTTTAGAGCCCCTGGGGACAGGGACGCCAGGCAGAGCTGCAGGGGTCCTCACTGTCACCCTGAGCCTCGGGGTGCTGGGAGTAAAGGGTAACTCTGAGCAGAGGGTCTCTCCTCCTGTCCGTAAGCATGAGGGTTAGTGTCGCTGGGCCGAGGCCTGGAGATGGACAGCAACAACAGACTTGGAGGGACACAAGGCGAGTCAGTGACGAAAAATAGAGAAACAAGGAAGACGGAGGACAGGGGAGAGGGAGGGACGGAAAGAGGCGGAAGGCTCATACTTCACCATGATTAGGGAGAGCTCACCCCCATTACTACTCCCTGGGAAGGGTATGAAAATGGGAGAAGAGGGCGAGAAATCAAACCTCAGCAACGGAGCAAAGGGACGCGGAGCTACACCAGTCAGCAAGCGGCCTCTCTGGAACCGGCCCTGAGGGGACAAAC